AGCTGGAATATTTCTGAGTGCGGTGTTAAACAACAACCAACTCTAATGGCGAGCAAGATTGTCCTGGGTCTGGTTCTAACACAGGTCCAAACCTTAGATGTCTTACACCGCACAGTTCATATCCCTTAAAAATATAACACAGATGGTATACCCATTCTTCCCTATCCAATGTTTGCATAGCAATAATCACATCATCAGAGGCTAAACATAAAAGTCATTAAATTCTTCACTAGTCTTTCCACCGAACATATAACCTAATATATCTTCTTATTGATGGGTAAATATGACCCAGCAATCATTTTTCTCCAAATACTAAGAAAGGAAGTGTATGATGGTGTCTCTGACAGAAGGCGATAGTTTCTTGGACCCTGGTTTCTGTCATACTTCAGATAAAACGGACTCCCTTCATCGAGAAACGTCTTGGGTCTCATGGCTCTATACTGCTTGTAAAAGTACACAAAGCATCTGTTTGGAGTCTGAGGTTTTGCAAACACTTTCAGGGAAAAACTGTTATTTATTGGACGTTCTAAATATTCCTGCCCTTGTTCATTGCTCTTCAATAAAAGGTCTCCCCATTTCATGCCAAGGTGCTCGGCTGGCCGTCTGATAGCAAAGTATTTAGAGTTCAGAAACCACATAGTGTTGGTGAGAATTTCAGGACTATGGGCACCAAGCTGGCCAGTCAGGAACAAGGTCTCTATGTCATTATCATCAACAGGGGAATGTTTCTGGGCAACAACTTTTCCTCCTTCGCTTATCTTCCTCTTCAGATAGTCACGGCAAGACTGGAACTGTCTGTCTTTGCTGATGGAGTGCGGGTAACCAGCATCCTTCAGGAACATGTCCAAATGAACCTGCACATTTTTCAATGTCCTGGCATTCAACTCTCTCCCATCTATCTTCCTTGCTTCTTTGAAATAGTCCAAAAGAAGTAAATTGAGCTTCTCTGGAGGAGTTGAAAGCAGGTCAACATCTATACCTGCCCTGTCAAAATGGAACCTTCGGAATTGCTTCACCGAGTTTTTGACAACGTTTAGTGTCCCTGGGCTGAGGTTGCTCTTGTTTGGTGTTCCACCATAGGAATCTACTGAAGCAGCTCCTTGAGAAGCAGCAGGAAAACTCTCTTCTTCCATGGACACGAATTCACAAGAATCCAGTTCATTCTCAAATAAGTCGAGGTCAATGATGTCCTCAGGTTCTGGTTCCACAGGGCAAGCCACATACTCCGACTGATCAACACTTTTGGGCAGTGTTTGAGGCAACGTCACCTGAGCCTCTTCAGGCTGAAATGACTCTTCTTCAAACACAGTCTCTGTTTTGAAGTTAGTTGCTGAACCAAAGGACTGAGGCATTGGTGAGTATTCATGATTGAATTCTGAACATTCTTTAGAGGTAGCTGGTGGCATAACCTGGGCTTGGTCAACCTCTTGAAATGACGTCTGCCTAGAGTGAGTTCTATTTCTGTTGGAAGTATAACAGTTATTGTCATCTTGTCGGGTTATTTCTCTGCTTTCCAAAGAGTCAGAATGGTTTGCTGTTTTAAAAGCTTGTGCACAATAGCTCTCACTGACCACATGACCACTGCTCTGTAGCAGTTCACTGAGAAAATATCTCTCTTTCTTCATGTTGTCGATCTCCACACACACATAGCCACTGACCTCCACAAACTGACTGAAGTTCACAAACTTGTGACAAGCTTTTTGTATATTTTCCAAAAGGGATCTGAAAAACTGGGCCGAGTGTTCCTTCTCCATTCTGCTGCCTAGGACTCTCCTGGAAAAGACACAAAATCAAATAAGTTTAATCAAATCAGACTTAAATATTCTTGATATTCTCAAATGTTGCCTGAACAATAATGGCGATTAATGGTCAGAAATTTTGGGGTAGCCATAATCTGTACAGTTTCCGATGACCTTGGAATATTGTGACATCACCCTGGATACTATGACATCACCCAGGATACCATGACATCACCATTGAATACTGTGACATGACCTTGGAATACTATGATATGACCTTTGAATACTATGACATGACCTTTGAATACTGTAACATGACCTTGGAATACTGTGACATGACCTTGGAATACTATGACATGACCTTGGAATACTGTGACATGACCTTGGAATACTATGACATGACCTTGGAATACTGTGACATGACCTTGGAATACTGTGACATGACCTTGGAATACTGTAACATCACCATTGAATACTGTGACATCACCATTGAATACTATGACATGATGGAATACTGTGACATGACCTTGGAATACTGTGACATGACCTTGGAATACTGTGACAGACTGTAACATCACCATTGAATACTGTGACATCACCATTGAATACTATGACATGACCTTGGAATACTGTGACATGACCTTGGAATACTGTGACATGACCTTGGAATACTGTGACATCACCATTGAATACTGTGACATGACCTTGGAATACTATGACATGACCTTGGAATACTGTGACATGACCTTTGAATACTGTGACATGACCTTGGAATACTATGACATGACCTTTGAATACTGAGACATCACCATTGAATACCGTGACATGACCTTGGAATGCTCTGAAATGACCTTGGAATACTATGAAATGACCTTGGAATACTATGACATGACCTTGGAATACTGAGACATGACCTTGGAATACTATGAGATCATGCTGAATACTATGACATCACCTTCGAATTCAATGACATCACCCTCGATACCATGGTATCATGTTGGTATACTATGACATCACACTAGAATACTATGACACCATGCTGAATACTATGACATCACTTTAGAATTCAATGACATCACCCTGGATACCATGACCTCATGTTGGTATACTATGACATCACACTAGAATACTATGACATTATGCTAGGATGTAATGATGTCATATTGTAATGAATATTTTATGCATCATAGCCATGTGTGTATAGTTAATAAATGCAATATCCATCTCCACCTGTCCTCATTTTATTATGAAATTTATTTTGTCATTTCAGCAAATTTTAAGATGATAATCTTACTTGACCAATACCAAATAGCCAAATACAAATTGCACATACAACTCCTTATATCCCACCAGTGGAAATGCAGCCTTAAGATGGATGACAGAAGAATATGAAATAAAGCTGCTGATAATATGTTAACCATTAAAAAATGGTCTTCATGGAACAAAACCTGAAAATATTTCATCAGAATTGTGTGAATGATATAGTTTCACCTTGTTACCAACCATTTTCCCATCATTAAAAAGCAATAGAACTAGTTGGAAGACTTCTGGTTATAGGAAAATTACCCACACCAGTAGTTTATTCAATGAAAAACATAACAGTTTCGTGTACTAACAAAAACAATTCTGGACATCCACAGAAAGAGCAGTTCATAATCATCATCAGACAAGAAACTCGGATAGATAACAACTTGGGGCATGTTGGGGCAAGACGTAGCCTTGAAACATCGCAAAAATTGTAAAAGTTGTTATATATAAAAGTTTTATGTTTACATGTCGACAGTTATATTAGGAAGACCAATATTAGTTCTTCATTAATATGAATGACCCTTCTCCACATTTTCCATAGATTGACATTAATGATTATATAGTGAATCATTATGTGTAATAAGTGTATTTATATGTTCACAACCACATATTCATGTGTTTTTAAATTATTTGTACAAAAGTACACTTATAACAGCTTCATACAAAATACCTTGTCACAAGGTAATGGTTTTAATAACATGATTTCTTAATGTGCCTTTTAGACACTGGATTTTGACTTTAAAATACATGTGCCTTTTTGACACTGGTAGTCAACAAGCAAGCCAACACAAACACCTTTCCAAGTCAATGGACAAGTCAATGGTCACAAAATCACACACTTTTCGATGGTCAATGGTCACACTTTCCAAGTGGTCACACTTTTCAAGTCACTGGTCAACAAGTCCACACTTTGGTCAACAGTCACACTTTTCAAGTCTGGTCACAGTCAATGGTCAAGTCAAGTCAAACACTTTTTAAGTCAATGGTCACACTTTTCAAGTCAATGGTCACACTTTTCAAGTCAGTGGTCACACTTTTCAAGTCAATGGTCAACTTTCCAAGCAAACAGTCACACTTTTCAAGTCATTGGTTGAATTTTTCAAGTCAGTGGTCACACTTTTCAAAACACAAGTTTAGTTTCATACAGATTCCTTAGCACATTTTAAATTTCTTTCATTGTCAGCTTAGCTCCATTTGTACATACACCAATGTGGATCATTGCTCATTATTTACAGGTGTCGAGTATGATAACACAATGCCATTTAGAAAGTGGTCAAATGTAACATATGTTATATTTCGGATTACACTTTCTTAGTAAAGTACAGATTCTAGTACTTTTGTTGGGTTGAGTCCCATCCGGGATTGGAACCCACATCCTCAGAGTCAGGCAGAGTTAGCAACCATGCCAATTAACATTTATCAGTGGGGTATACAAAGTCCACAGTCAAGACTACCAGTTGTCCATCTTCCATTTCGTGGAAGTCAGGGTATCTGAGCAGGTTAGGTGGCTGACTTTGTGTGCTGGCGATTAGGTGCCTGACTGAGGGTGTGGGTTCGAATCCCGGATGGGACTCAACCCAACAAAAGTACTAGAATCTGTACTTTACTAAGAAAGTGTAATCCCAAACATAACATGTGATACAGATATCGAGTAAGCGTTTTAAGTCACATCAGTAATATTTCATTAATACTGTAACAAACCGCTCCAGTATGTGCACCCCCTCCTCCCAAATCCTGCATCCGCCCCTGTAACTGTGGCATAAAATAACATTCACTCATTCCATTAACAGGGCTGGAAATAACTTTAAAATTGCTAGTGTACTCCGGTACAGTGGCACAAGTAAAATCACTTGCCCTGATAATTTTTCCACTATACTGGCCGATTTTCTTGTTGATTTTTTTAAATAAACAACATAATTAACATTGGAAAGTCAACTGGAGACCGGTACAGTGTGATATACAAATATGCTTGCCCGACAGAAAAAACACTGGACTCGGGCGTTGGGCAATGGGTTATTTCCACCCCTGATTAACCTGATAAAGAAGTGTCATTTCAGTCAGTTTCTTCATAAAATTTTCTTTGTTAATGGGAGTCCTGAAGCTACAATTATTTTCCTCCATATGTACGTGAACGGAGACCACATCATCTGTTCGGGCAAGAACCACATGAACTGGTTCCCTGGAATTTTGTTAAACTTCAGATAGAAAGGGCACTCTTTATCTAAAGTCATCATGGGTCTCTTGTCTCTATATTGCTTGTAAAAGTTTACAAAACATCTCGCAGGATCTTCCGGCTTTGCAAACACTTTCAGAGAAAAGGAACTGTTTATTGGACGTTCAAGGTACTCCTTGCCATTCTCAGTGACCTTCAATAAAATGTCTCCCCATTTCATATTAAAATGTTCCCCTGGTTTTCTTTTGGCGAAATATTTTGAATTTAAGAACCACATCGTGTTAAAGAGAGAGTCTGGATTGTGTCCTCCGAGAAGATTCTTCTGGAACATGGCCTCTACATCACTGTCATCTATTGGGACGTGCTTTATTGCTGCACGGACCTTCCCACACTCGTCCTGTTTGTTCCTGATGTAGTCCCTGCAGGCTTTGAACCTATCATCCCTGGTTATCGAATAAGGATAACCTTCTTGTTTCAAATACCTTTCAAGATACACTTGAGCATTCTTCAGAGAACCCACAGTTAAGTCACTCCCATCGGCTTTCTTAGCTCCCATAAGATAGTCCAGCAACAGATCATTTAGTTCTTTAGGAGGGTAGAAATCAAATCAAATTCCAGACCAGACTTCTCAAAGTGATACTTCTTGAATCGCTTCACTACAGATTTCAAGACATTTAAAGAACCTGGATTTGGAGTTTTCTTGTGCTTCTCTTGAAACAGCATACTAGTGTCAAATGACATTTTCTGGGTAATATCTGCGAAGCTTTGATCTTGAAAGGATGAGCTGAAGTCTGCTGAAGTGCTCGCCAGTTCATCATCAAATATGTCCAGATCTATGACTTCATCATCTGCGGTGTTTGAGCATCCTGGATCCTCCGAGTCTCCTACATCCTCGGTCAGACTGTCTGGCAGCGTTACCTGCACCTCACTGATCTGTGAAGCAGCATTGACCACAAGGTCACATTGGTCTGATTCTGAACTGCAGGACTGATTGCTGACCGATGCTGGAGACACCAGTGGAGTGCTCTCAGCATATCCTGACAATCTCCTTCTCTTAATCCTGGGACTAGTGGGTTGGAATGTGCTCTGGGGTGCTTCGTCGGAACTCATCTCAGAGCAAGAAAGAGTCCTGTTTGCAGTGGGCTTGTGGAGGTTAAACTGGCCAATGTCAAGAATAGGTTTTCTGTCACTCTGGGAGGAACTGGAGCCCCCTTCATGAGGATCCTGAGTCACTGGAAAATGAGGTAGTACCATGGAATCAGAGCTTCCTCTGCTTGGGAACACAGACTGACTTGTAACAGAGCTGACACTCTGTTGACTGAACACCTTAACATCCTCGTTTGTTGTGTCTGGGTTGTCTCGCATCTGTCCTGCTCAACGGTTCCACACGTTGTGACTGACTGTTCTCTGGAGTTTTGAATGACTTTGTACAGAAGCTCTCACTGACCACATTACCACTGCTCTGTAGCAGTTCACTGAGGACGTATCTCTCCTTCTTCATGTTGTCGATCTCCACACACACATAGCCACTGACCTCCACAAACTGACTGTACTTCAAGTAACTTTTGCACAATCCTTGAAGCTTCTCTACAAAGGAGGTAAAGAACCGCACTGAGTATTGATCGTCCATTGTCTCCCACTTTGTGGCTTCCAATTATCCTAGGAAGAAAATAACCATGGATTAGAAATTCCATGCTGGACCAGGTTCATGGGTTCTCAGCTTCAAACTCAAATAGGAACTGGTTTGGCAGAGAGAATATGACCTCCAAAACATTAAAGTATTAAGTTCCTCGTCACTTGGTTTGAAATAAAATTTCATATTAATGAAATTCTTCAAATGAAATTGGATAAAGTTGACAATTATTTCTCTCAAATGAGAAAATTATGAAAACTATCACTTGAAGACAGATAAAACAACAACAACTGTTACTGAAAAATGTTTTCTTGGTTTTTTTTGACACTCATATCATCACATTTGAATCAATTTATTTTTCAATGTAATTTTTATATGCTTAATATTCTACCTCACAATCAAATGTTTTCTACCTTCTGTAATTATAATAATAATAATAATAATGGAAACTTATATTGCGCTTAGGATATATTCATGAAATCAAAATTTGAGAGAAAAAACAAAAGAATCCGTCTTGAATGATGTATTTGCAAAACAATTGCCAAACTGTCATTAATAACAACAAAACATTTTAGTTCAGGATAATTGTTTATTGTAAAAAAGTACTCAGTTCCAGTTTGTATAACATTTGCAAAACATTTAGGTGCATCAATTGGACAATGTAACGCAGGCGATAAGAGGTAAAATATTAACCCTGCATCCTTCGATATGAGGCTATTATGATGATATCAGACGCCAGATCCTAAACATATCTCTACCCGAGTTTCAACTGAACAGCGCCTTTGACAATCAAGGGGAGATAAATACTTCCTCACGGAGAAAATCGGGGCATTTCGGTGACGGGTCACGACTTAATGTCAAAATCCTCATGCGTTGTGGAAAATATAGAAATTATATGGACGCACAAACAAATAAACACTTTAAAACAACCACATGGCAATATGATTACCTTTCTGGCAGAATATCTATGCTGTTATGACCCTAAACACGTAACGATGCGACTTCGACGGTCCCTCAGCATCATTCGGAAATTCATCGTGCTTTTCCGTCAGTAGCCAGTCATAGAAGGTATTTGGTACAGGATATCCTACGTCTTCAAACGAAGTTCCGATTGAAAATTGAAATTGTTCTGACGACGATACTTGTTGGATATATGAATGTTCTATTGATCGATCAGATTGACATGTTCGTAGGTCATTTCGATGTTTGAAGATATCATGATCTACATTCTTCTATCTGAACTGTCGATAATTGCGGACAGGTAATACATTTGTGTTATGAATAATAATGCTGAAAGAGGTTTCATATGGAGCGGAGTTCGTGCAAAAATATCGCAGTATTGAAATTTTTATTGTCCCAAAATGCAATTCACAATAATTGCTCTTTATTCGTGTTTTTGTATACTTTCGTCTTGAAGTAACGGGTTAGGATACTTTTCATAGTTTCACGCTTGGCACAGTTATTGGACTCATAGGTCGACTCTGGTACAGCAAGTGAGTCATAAATGTGTAGTAAGCTTCGCCTGCTACAATGTTACACTGTTTGTTTCTTGTTTAACACCGCACTCGGCAATATTCCAGGTATATGGAAATATGTGGTCTGAAAATAATCGACTCTGGACCAGACAATCCAGTGATCAACATCATGCACATCGATCTGCGCAATTGGGATACGGTGACATGTGACATTCAAGTCAGCGAGCCAGCTAGTCGCCTCTTACAAAAGCATGGGTTACGGAAGACAAATCCTAACCCGTATCGCCCAGAACATACTGCATCGATCGTTGCTTAATAATTATTCGGCTGACCATCGTTAAATTGTCATTCAACATAAATGTGATTTGCTAGTGTGTGTTACGCCAAGGCCTGGTCGCTTTACAGATTTTGACTTGACGCTAAATGACTTTCTAGATACGATTTCCGATAAACCATGAACCATTTTTCTCCTCTCCACACCATGCAATCGAACGTACATATATACCGTACATATATACACATATATACAACACAAACATTCCATGACAATTTGGTCAGGTCGCAGTGCCGACACACAGCAGTTTATTTACATTAATCACTTGATACATTATACAACACACATCAATCGACCGCCTCTGTACATGTGGTTAGAGCGTCACCTTACATCATTCAGTATGGAACTTGTTGCCCGACACGTAAACAACAAGAGATCAAAATGCTTCATCATTTTCAGAGAAAATTAAGTCTCTGAACCGTGTTCTCCCAAAGAAGTCAACCGTTCCTTATCTGGGGAGTTTACAGATAACTATTGATGTAAAACAATAAATACAAACGTTTCTCACACAATTATATTCAATTCACCCTTCCAAGTGTAAAATCATTACACACTGTATTATAAATGGTTCTTCAGCCCAGTCCATCACAGGACAAACAGTTTTACAACTGCATTCCAACAACATACCGCTATATGATAGCGTAATATGTAATATATTTCTGTATATAATATCCCGTATTATGAAGACTCGTCAACCTCTTGAAAGCAGAATAATCATATTCGCATCATTCGCAGCATACCATTCAAGGCTCATCATTCGCATCATCAGTCTCACGTGTTATAATGGCTCGCCAACCGCACATATACAAGCGAGTCCGGTAATTCCGCAATAGTGTATTTCCGTATCAAAGTAAACATCGTCTGCTACCACATTTACGCTTGAAATCAGGACATTTCTACAAGGAACTGGCTTTTAATCACTAAAGGTAAGTAAATAACAGTAATTGACAGATAAATTGACAGTTTTATCAGACTTTTAAACCTTTTTCTTCATTATTCATAATTGGATTTGATATGAAACACACTTCCTTACATTGATGAAGTGATTTTTGAAAATAATCTGGCCCTAATACGCTTCCATGCTTCGGATCTCCAGCTGGATGTTATGCGCATCAGTTACTGCGCAGAATTACCGGACAGCAAGCGATGTCGTCAGAACGCCAGTAAGGTCAACCTTATGGCATAATGCAACGTTAGAATCTTATAGTTGTTCTAGGTACATATGATGCATACTAGCATGTTTAGTCACGTAAACCACAAAAAGTAAGAGACATTAGTTGCCGTGTTGCGATCGATGTGCTTAGCTGCGCGGAAGTACCGGACGGTAAGAGACAGCAGTTCGCCGTGTTGGTCCCAACGTTCGACGGATGAATGTTGTGTTAAAAATATCTAAACCATTGCCAACGTGCGCGGAATTACCGGACTGGCATTGGATGTAACTCATCCAGACAGGGGAAACAAGCCAAACGGCCATCTTCACAACGAGTGAACACATCATAAAAACATATATAAGTTTATGAGATAATACATGTAAATATCAAAATACATGTGAAAATATAATGACGTTACTGCTGCGGTTACTATCGAGAGAGAGAAGAACTACTTCTTCTTCTTCAGTTATATGCTTTGGAGGTCGCCTTCGCCTGCTGGCATTTCGGCAGACTAAAAAAAGAACTACTTTCCACGCCCCTTTTTATACCCTTAATACCCAAGCCAATTACCCCCCTTGAGTATTGCATACCGCTAAGGAGAAATTAGTTTCTCTCTTATTCACAATGCATTCAACCGAGAGAAACATCATTTCTCCTCTCCACACCATGCAATCGAACGTATATATACATAATATATACAACACAAACATTTCATGACAATTTGGCCAGGTCGCAGTGCCGACACACAGAGATTCAAAGAAAGTCTAAAGGCCAAGACCGTGAGAAACAGATAACCGTTTTGGAGGTGATCCTTAATATAACCATCTTTGGCGTTTTCACTTCGCCATCTCCCATTTCTCTTGAACATCCTATTGGGGACTCCGTTATTAGCAGCAGCAGCTGTTGCTCCGCCGCTACGTAAGACCATAACTATTGATGTTGTGTACAAATGGAGTGAAAGCTTCAATAAACAACTCTCTCACCAGAGTTCGCCAATATCCCAGATAGGTCAAGGATTGCAACTGGACACACGAACCGTCTCTGTAAATATCTGTTTTAGATGCTCTATAAACAGCATAATGTGAGTCTCATAAAATGCAATATCTGATCTTCTGATGTTTAAAAGTTCTGCAGATCTGAGAAACCCAGAATATGCAATAAGACACATACACAGTATCCGTACACTGTGAAGTGTTGGATCAACCATTGTTACATCATACAATTTCTCTAACAAATCAACAGTGATTGGCTCTTTGTTATTTACACATTTTGCCAATTTTCTTTTGGCTGCCTCTAAAACATTTTAAACAAGACCACCTTCCGTTGGACTTTGCAGCCCCACAATCACATGAGCATGACGAATGCTATAGAATGCCGTTTGCACAGGAGCAAACGATTCTCTACGCTGAACAACAGCCTATAAATATATTGCACAGTGCAATGGAGAAATCGGTAATTGTGTAGACATTAAACAAGAATGTGCCACCGTTTCCACGCATCAAAACCGCATGCGTATTTCCTTGACGTGAAATCTGCTCTATAACCAGCCAGCAGATTCGGCAAACCAGCAGCCAACCCCTTCACATCAGGTGGTAACGCTTCCAACTCCTCTCTATATACACTACACATCACATCTGTAAACAGAAAACTCATATTCAACATATGCTGAAATCTACACGCAGTGCTAACATGTTAAAATGCAAATCACTTTCTCCGAACAACCCGCCTCCAATCGTGGAAGGTACATATTCTTCTTTCGCTTTTGGCAAATACATATGGTCAATCACCTGTGGAATAAAGAAACGATTACAAGTGATAAGCGGCCAAAACCATGCCGAATACCATTCGGGTACCACCAACGTGCCCTTAGCACCACACTCAGACATATGCCGTAATGTTCCTGGTATCATGGCAACAGGGGGAACAACCCAGCTTATCACATCACTCCAACTGACTGTGAAACAGTCGACATCCGCACACCGTGGATTCTAATATCTGGAATTAAAACATGGCAAATTAGTATTGTACCTTGATGCAAATCCATCCACTTCATGTGGCCCCCAAACAGCATCTATATGCTTAAATACGTGGTTTGCTATAGCCCAATCGTCATAATCGAGAATTTTACTCAACATATCCGCGGTCTCATTCTCTGAACGCGGAATCCATTGCATGTCCAACACCACATTTTTGCTTTGAACACAACTCAAAACTGTCAAGGGCTATGGCCTGTAAATGTGGTTTCATGCTACCCTTCCCCACAATAGTAGCCACGTTATTACTGTCAGTGCGCCACGTAATTCTACGTTTCTCCAAATGTATAATGAAACTTGACATGACTGCCATGAGTTCTTTCCATGTTGAACTGTTCTGCGCCTCGTCTTCAGACCATGAGAGTAAGCTGTACCCACTTCCGCACAAAACCCTCCATATCCGGTATGACTGGCGTCACTATATACAACACGACTCACTTGAGAACTTTTGACTAGTACTGTACTTGACAAACTAGCAATGTTTCTTATCCAATACTGTAATTGTTCGATGCTTTTCAGTCAGAACATCGATGCTCAGAAATCTAGTCATCAATTGTACAACAGGTCCCATGACCAATTTCATCGCTATGATCTGTCCTACAACAGCTGCAATCAAACGAAACTGATTGCACCACACGTCGGTTGTCCAAAAGAAAAGTTATTTTCTCAACCACTTTATCAAGCTTTCTCTGAGGTACAGATAGACACAGAGAAGTAGTACATATATGAAAACCTAGCCACTCAATGGACTGTGAAGGTGACCAAAACGATTTTTCAACCTTGGGTAAAAATCCAGACTTTATCAAGTCTTCTTTCACTTCCTTGCCAACGGAACGCGATAATAAGTCTGATTCTGCAGATAAAATGCCATCATCAAGAAATGTTACAACTTTCTTCCCTTCAAAGCGCCACTTTCTAACCAATTGTCTTGCAACTTTTGTAAACACAAACGGTGCTGACGTCAAACCCAAAGGTAACACTACAAATTTAAAGTACCGTGTTACACCAGACACATCTGTCCACGCGAAACCTAAGAA